AATAAAACTATAGTTTATTAGCTATAGACTCAAATCACCTAAACCATGTGCCTAGTAGTATTTTCTAATTACCATTACATACATTTGAATCTAAACTTGCGACTAGATTTGTCAATCACTTAATTTCACCAAAGCTTGAAAGATTTTTACAAATAGAGGTCTATGAATTTGAATATAACTTAAAACAAATTGATTTTAACATACTCTGCGTCCAAACTGTGTTGGTATTGAAATGGTTGGATCGAAATTCGGGCACCTAAATGGAGCATTTGATTCAGCCCGGGACTGTTTGAGAATAGTCCGGGAGGCACAAATGATGACCAACACCTTTTTCGAAGGGATCCACTTGTTTACCCAATGTTCATAAACCGTCCGACTATCGAAACCAAATCCCGGTGAGAGGAAAACCTAAATGCTACTTATGTAAATCGTCCGATGAGGTGCACCAGCCGATTTTCTAGATTCTATGTTATTAAATTTCATGTTTATTCCTTTCTTATGATTTGTAATTGTGTCTTGTAATTACACTTCCTTTAAGTGGGATTTCTGAATTTGATGGGGAAAAAAAAGTATCTTGGGCTTGTGATATCTTTGATGTCTCCCTGTTAGCTTTTTTTTTTCCTTTTGGTGTTTGTTTTTCTAATTTTCTTTTATGGGATGTTTTACTGTGAAGGTTTGTCTAATATAAAGACTGCTCTTTTGTGCTCCATTTTCAATTGCCATGTTAAGCTCACAATGCTCTCTTGGATGATCTTTTGAAAGTATTGTGAAGAATGTGTTGTTTTAGTTGAGGAAAAAATATGCTCGAGTGGATTAGAAACCAATCATAATAAGAATTGAAAGCAAGAAATGAAAGCATGAAAGAGAGAGGATAGAAAATTGGTAGCCTTGGCAATCTGCTAGAGCAGCATCGTTGCTTTCCACTATAATTTATTAATTCTTATGATGCTTGTTGAATTTTCATGGAACTAATTCTTTTTCTATTTCTGTTTCTTGAAAACAATCCCTCTGAATTTTAATATTATTTCTCTCTCAAAATTTCGATGCTTGTTGAATTTTCATGGAAAAGACTTGTTGAACCCTAAAATTTCTGACCATTGTTTCAGTTAATCTGCCCAAAGGTAGCTTCTTTTGTCCCTTGCATATGGTTTCTCTTGAAGGGTTGCTCTAATTTATCCACATGAAGCATTTTGATGTTATGATTGATTTGTAGTCTATTTCACTCTGTTCCGTATAAAGGTCGTTTTTCTTTCGAAAAAAAGTTAAAAAAAAAAAATTGATAGCTTTTTGGAGTTTAAAGGTAGCATTTTTTCTAATGCTTGAAATTCAGTGAAACGTTTTAAAATTTTAATGCTTTGCTATTTGCTCATGGTACTATTCTGTTGTGTCTGGGTTGAGATTGTCATTTTGTGAGATTTGTTCTTTCCGCCAATTATTTGGAAAGAATGTGTTTTTTGATTGAAATGTTTGGTACCTCATGCTTGATGAAATTCTGCAATGGGGAAAAGAGGTTGGCTCACCTGTTGAAATCAAATTGAGATATGGCCAATTTGGGCATATGTCTGCTGTTAGCTTAAGCTACAACAATAACAAAAATAACACGGCCAGTATTTTGAGCTCACACTCTCTGCAAGAAGACATGGACTATCATTCACTTGTAGTGACGCTTTCGGTCATAATGCAAGTGTGAGCGTCTCGGTCCGGTTTGGAACGAATCGATCTTTGTCCTCGTCGGTAGAACACCGGAAACCTGCAAGTAACTCTCACACCTGGGGTTGTGTCCAGTGAAGAGCCTCCGATGCTTAAGTCAGTATGTGTATAGGTATACTGAAGTGAAGAATGAATAGAATGTGTTAAGGGAGAAAGGCTCACCCCCTTTATATAGAGGTGAGATACCTGCCCTAACAGCTGCCCGGATAAGGATGAGCTGGCTGCCCAAGCTGCCCGTCCGTACTCTGACACGTCGCGCACATGTCAGAGGTGGCGCTGGGCGTTGGGAGCTGTCAGAGGTGGTTATCGATAACCACCAATGCTTTCTCCACACTTGTCTCCCTGCACATGGGGTAAATATTCTCCTGAGATTCGGTTAGAAGTTCCCACATGCGCCTGTGACTAGGCTGATTGTCAGACCCTCGAAGCGATCGACCTGATGAGGTCGAATATATTGCTTGATCCTTTATCTGGTCGAGCGATGGATTGGTCGACCACCTGCCTGGTCGATTATCTGAATGTTCGATCTTCCCGCCTTTTGGCTTGGCTTCCTCTTGGTTTGACCTTCTCGACCGGCCAAGTAGACCGGTTTAGCCTTGTGTATATAATATCCCATATCAGGTCATAAATTGAGGATTTTAGATGCACATGCCTTTTTGTCGAGATCTAAGAGAAAGTTATCTGTTTAAAAAGTATGTTTGCTCTCTAATGTTTGTTAAAATTGATTTGGACAATCATTAGTGGATGAAGAACAAACATAATTGATTCTAAGTATATGTATGTTGACTTGGTTGTTTTGTTTTCATGGGCTACCAAAGACCGTGACTTGATAACACAATCAACTTTTTGGTAGTTGCTTAGTCGTCTTTTCTTTGTCTTCTCATCTTGAAAAGCCATTGGAAATGGTCACTACTGGTCAGGGTCGATCATCTTTTTCTTCGTTTTCAAAATTGTTTCATTAAGAATATTTGTAGTGGGCTTCTAAAAGCTGCCTAATTTTGTTGTCACGTGATGTAAAGTTAGAACTTTGATGGAATTTGTTATTCTTGCTCGCATATGAGATAGATAGTCAGAGAAAAAACTAACAATGTGTTATCTATGATGTAAAAAGGATTTGCATGGATGATTTATTAGTTTTTATGTACAGTATAATATAATTTTTTCTTTATTTTCCTAGCCAATTCTCTGAGGTGATTGGATACATGTAAGTTTGGTTGGTTTGTCAACAACAAAATATTTGGCAGATGCAGGTCATAAACCTATATTAGGAAGCAAGGGATGTTTTAGGTGGAGAGGTTGGTTATGTACTTCACAATCACAAATCCTTTTTTCCTCTAGGTTATCCTTTTAGTCAAATATTTCACTCTTTTTCCTATGACCAGGTGGCGGCATGGAATGATGAGGAAGGAGGCTAGTACAAGATTGGGTTACACATATTTTGTGAGTTCGACTTCTAAAATGATACTTGTTTTATAAATGAGTATTTTTTTCAGTTCTGACACCGGTTGTTCATATGAAAAAAAGATATGTGCTTGATGCATGATTTGGTGTAGATGGTGGCTTGGGTCTTATCCAATTGTTTAGAACTTGTTTCTAGAATTAAGCATTAAGAATCTGTTGCAATGGAAGGAGCATTCCATGATTATTGCTATGCAAACAAACTAGGATAATTTAGTCGGTTTGATTTTATGGAAGTCATACTTACCCTGATTAATGGTGAGCTTGATATGGGATATTATATACACAAGGCTAAACCGGTATGCTTGGCCGGTCGAGAAGGTCAAACCAAGAGGAAGCCGAGCCAAAAGGCGGGAAGATCACAGGCGCGTGTGGGAACCTCTAACCGAATCTCAGGAGAATATTTACCCCATGTGCAGGGGGACATGTGTCGAGAACGCATTGGTGGATATCGATAACCACCTCTGACAGCTCCCAACGTCCTGCGCCACCTCTGACATGTGTGCGGCATGTCAGAGTACGGACGGGCAGCTTGGGCAGCCAGCTCATCCTTATCCGGGCAGCTATTAGGGCAGGTATCTCACCCCTATATAAAGGGGGTGAGCCTTTCTCCCTTAAGACATTCTATTCATTCTTCACTTCAGTATACCAATACACATACTGACTTAAGCATCGGAGGCTCTTCACCAGACACAACCCCTAGTGTGAGAGTTATTTGCAGGTTTCCGGCGTTCTACTGACGAGGACAAAGATCGATCCGTTCAAACCGAACCATGACGCTCACACTTGCATTATTGGCGCCGTCTGTGGGGATTTTCGTTAAAAAGTTATGTTTGAAGCTCAGCTATGGCGGACGGAATTCCCAAAAACTTGCAGTCAACGTTCGACGAGGCTTGGACGACGATCAGGCCGATGGTGCAAGGCCCTCCTCTGGGTTTTTCCGGCCCATCGCAGACACCGATCACTCCCACACCTATCCTTCAAGGTGTGGGAGTGACGACGGCGATTCCCGAAGGAGATGTCGGCTCCAGTCCGGCCTAGGAGGCTCGCGCAGCAGCCGCGGCAGCGATGCCACCGCCACCGCCACCAAATCCAACACTGGTGCAAGGAGTAGCGATGGCGCAAGGAGGAGCTCCACCTCAAGTAGCT